TTGGACGTTTTCGTTTGTTATCTTATTGAGTTGTTGAGTTTGTCGTTGTTATTGTTATACCTTGTTATTGATTGTTATTGTTATCAACTGCTTGCGCAAAATGCCCAGTAGTACAGATACTGCCGATGAAGTTGTAAACTCCTGTAGTCCACATAGGAAACGCTCTAAAAAAAGACACCTGCGTGCAGAAATGAAAGAGGTCATTTTGAATATATATAAGATCGAGCGCGAGGAGAACGAGGCATCAACCATCAAAGAAATTGTTGTGAAGGTTTCGCACAAAGTTGGGGTGTGTCGCGCATCAGTGTTTAATGTGTTAAGACAATACAAAAAAAATCATACCTTTTCTGAGCCAATGACCAGTAAACATCGCAAAAGTATTGTTAAATCATTGGATGAAGCTGATAAGCATGCAATTAGGAGGAAAGTGCATGATTTTTCTTTAGGAATGAAATACCTACTATAGATAAAGTACTGCAGGAGGTAAATGGAGATACAACGTTGCCAAATTTCAAACGATCAACTGTCCATGCGTTACTGAAGCATTTAAATTTCAAATGGAAAAAACGGGGTCGTAATAGTTTACTACTGGATAGAGAAGAAATTGTGCTATGGAGGAGGGATTATTTAACAAAAATTGGGAAATATAGAAATCAAAACAGGAAGATTTATTACCTTGATGAAACGTGGGTAAACGCAGGACACACTACAAGTAAAGTATGGGTTGATGATTCTGTTACTTCATCCAGGAGGGCCTTTCTAGACGGACTGTCCACCGGATTCAAAAATCCAGCAGGTAAATACGAGTAATAGACAACAATCGGATGTTTTTCAAACCTTGAGAACAAGGTTCTAAACATTAATTCCAGGGGGCAGATAAAACATATTACAAGTAACAAAACTTTTATAACTTTCGATAAAATGCGTGGATGTTTTATTGTCATTTTCATTTGTTAGAACTTTTTTAAGCCATGTTTTTATGTGTTTTCGATATTTCAATAATTTTTTAATATAATCTTAAAATATGTCGAATATTATAAACTTAAAAAAAGTTACTAAGTTTTATATTGTGTACCGTTCCTAATATTTCTAATCATTTTAATTCATACTTTAAGCTTTATAAAGTTATAATTTGTTAATATTAATATTTGCGCGTATTTCAGGTTCCTGATCATTCATTTTTTAAAGGTTTATAACTTTAAATTAAATTGTGAAGCGCTGAGTAATCATACGACGTACAATATTCTTTCTTTCAATATGACTAAATAATCCCAATTATAGCAATCTGATACTCATGTCTCAATGTTTTTTCGCTGAATGTGATGAAAAAATTTGAAAAAGGTTCGCTTATTGAAATAAATCTACACCAGTTAGTACTTCGATTTCCAGGTAAAGGGAAAAGGCTCATTATCTGCCATATTGGCAGTGAGGATGGATTTGTTGTTAACGGTCTGTGGTGCTTTGAGTCTAAGAAAACTGGAGATTACCACGAGGAAATGAATGGCAAATCGTTTGAACAGTGGTTTTCAAAAATTTTACCGAACTTAGACGAAAACGCAGTAATTGTGTTGGATATGCGCCTTATCATTCTCGAAGAATGGAGAAGGTCCCAACAACGGCTTCAAGGAAAGTTGATGTTCAAAATTGGCTCCGCTCGAAAAATATCAACTTTGAAGAAGCAATGCTGAAAGTACAATTATTAAGAATTGTCAAAGATCACAAGGCGGAATATCAAAAATACGCCATTGACGAAATGGCAGCAAGTCAAAATAAAACTGTACTCCGTTTACCTCCATACCATTGCGAGCTCAATCCCATTGAGCTCATATGGGCAGAGGTTAAAAATTATATAGCTAAGCACAATACAACTTTTAAATTTTGTGACCTCAAAGGACTTTTCAAAGAAGCACTAGAATTAATAACAGCGCAAAAATGGGAAAACTGTATTAAGCACGTGAAAGACAAAGTTGAAAAGAGAATGAGAAATTTTGAAACCCTTATGTATATTTACATCATTATATATTTCTTACCCCACCCCCACTTGATCCTATATCCATCACCAATCGTATACACATCGAATTGTGCTAATTTACTACAAATTTACGCAAAGCAGCATCTACTATCTAAAATATGTACTGCGTGACTCTTAATACGTCCCTGCCGAATGTTACAGCGTTCGATGATCACGTGGTCTTGTTTATGTCCGGTCTATCTCTTATCTGAATATACTGTACTCTAGTACTCCACGTCTCATTAACAGTACTATCTCAGAATCTACGACCTTTATGAGTATTGAGTTGGATGCAGGATTATATCGGAAGCAACAAATTGACAGTGTATGCAGGAAAATGAATAGCAATATGCGATATTGAAATTAAAGCCAAATGTCCCCAAATCAACGCTGATAGATGTGTACTACGCAAAGGTGTGTTCGCATCTGTCCAATGATACCATCGTCTGGGGACAAACATGCACCGCGTCCAGAGTGCTTAATTTGCAGAAACGTATTGGAGGGGGACCTATGTTTGGCAAAAAATCACGTTAACACGTGCAGCCCCCTGGGCAGGGGTGACACCAACCCTAAAATCTTAAATAGAAAGGGGGGTCGAGTGATACCTTATTTTAAAGGTCTTTCAATTCCCTTCATAATGATGTGAAATACATGAGCTTCAGTTCGGTAGTCTTGAAGATTTATTGATTTAAAGCTTAAAGTAGGTACATCAGATTAGTGTGTACTACTTTCAGAAGAAATTTGACTAAAAGAATTTAGTTAATAAGTAAATGCTTTTCTTCACTACGCCCACGATTTGTTTATCATTTTGTTGTTGAAAATAGCTATTGTAGCGTTTTTGTGGCAAAAAAGTTATTCCTTGAAGAAAGATAAGGAAATATCTCGTACTTATTTTAAATAGGAATTTAGTACATAGTTTGCGATTGATTTGACCAAACTTTGTTGCTAAAATAACTTGTACATAAATTAACCATGCTATACTCCACAGCAGGAAGAGTTGAAATTATCGAAATATTTTTCGGAAATAATCAGTGAGCTAATAGAACAGCAGAATTATTTAATGCGCGACATGAGAACAGTAACTGAGCTGTCAGTAAATGCGTCTGTTTCGTTTTCGATGCACCACCCTGTATATAAAAGTTATAGGATCTAATATGATGAAATTCTATAAGCCGTTTTAATATATGACACCCTGTATACGGATTACGGGATCGATCTATTCTCTACAATTTTCTATTCGTTTAAATTAATAAAAAAGCAAGCCGCAACGGAAGGTGCGGTTAGTATGACTTTGCAGTTCGAGGTTGACAGTTCTAGTTTTTTCTAGAGACTGCACATGATAACGTACGAAATTTATGACAAATCTTTCTTTACGTGGCAGGCAAGTTTGTAATGTGTAAACCAATTGGGAGTATGTCGGCAAATGTAACAGTAACTCAGGATCTGTTGATTTTATCCCTATCGGTGGAAATCAACGATAATTCTAATAGTTATTTATTATACAAAGGAAAAAAGTACCAGATATACACAATTTTTTCTGTGATGGTAAACGACGATTTAATATTGAAAAATAAAAATTATATTATTACGATATTTAAGTCAGAAAATTATCGATGTGAAATTTCAATTTTGAAATTAGTGGACTATGTTGTACAGGGTGCGGCAGAGAGGACGGACGTTTTTGGGATGGGTAGTACGCTCCGCCTCCGTCTACGAGAGAAGTGGGGAGGGTGCCGTTTGACTCGTGAGATCCAGTTGTCGTTATGGAGCCTTGGACGGTGGACCACCGCGTTTTCGCCTATGATTGTTTCTTCCGAAATAATGAGTCAGTCATCGTCGTACAGCGTGAGTTTCGTCGCCACTTCAACATTCATCGGAATAGAGCTGTTCCCCCTCGAAACACCATCCTTCGTTGGATTGAATCACTTCACAGGCGTGGTGAACTGATCAACAGAAGACCAAGAGGAGCGCCGCGAACAGTTCGAACTCCTGAAAATGTTGAACGTGTTCGACCGGTCTTTCTTCGCGGTCCGACTCGATCTGCCCGGAAACATGCTGCTGCACTTCGCCTTAGTGATCGTTCGATAAGGCGA